TTTGACAGTAGATGAAGAAGCAAGAACAAAATGGGTTTTTGGTGTGGGGTGGGGAGGAAGGGAAGAGGCCAGTGGGAGGTGGCAGGGGAAAGAAGAATCATGGTGTGAATTCCTTGAAGAGGTCATAATGATTTTTTAAAAATTCCACTCATAAGTTTTTACCACAAGTTTAAATTTCCTAGCTTTCACAGGACAGAAAAATCATATAACTAAATTGGTGACCAGTTCTATGAAGGAGGGAAATATGCAAATATTTTTGAGGGTCACAGACAATATCCTGGCCCAAAGATTAGGTAGATATCAGGAATTGGATTTTTAAATGAGACACACACACACACAACACACACACACACACGCCAGAGGAAAATCACATGATATATTTAGGAATAAAATGAGTGTCAATTTAAGGAATTTCCAAGTAGATTCAATAAAGGTATAGCTTCTAGAGCAGTGGTTCTTAAATCTTTTCTGTGTATGTATGTATTATGGACCCCTTTGGAAGTCTAGTGAAGCTCATGGACCCCCTTTTCATAATAATGTTTTTAAATTATTGAAGGAAATGTTAAATTTCAGTTAGTAGTGAAAATAAAGATGTATTTTTTTTTCTCATTCAAGTTTACAGTGTCCCCTTGAAATCTATCCATGGACCCCTTGGGGGTTGGAGGATCCCAGGTTAAAAACCTGTTCTATAGTGAACAAGCAACATAACTAGGATTTGATAGTGGTGACAGGAAAAAAAAAGACACATTATAACTATGAATGAAACAAAAGTAACCACAGAGGTTGGATAGGCAAACCTACAGCTTTTCAAGACCCTGGCTACCTGTGTCATTTCAAGGATCATTCATTACTGTAACTTTAATCAGATTTTGATTGAATTCATCAATTTCCTTCAAATTCCTATTTTCTTCATTCATTTCTATTTACCCATATAGTATTATGAAAACAACCCTTGCTTATAGGAATCATACTATATTCCTAAGTTTCACAGACTAATCACTAATAAGAACTGGTAACACAAATAAAAATTGCTATCTTTTCCCATAGTACTTTATGAGCAAGGCAGAGTAAAATCTGGAGAACAATAATAGCAATAAGAGAAAAAAGTAATCCTCCTGTTTTCTTTTGGGGGGGGCTGATGAATGAGCCAAATACTAATCTGCAAATATTGATAGAAAAAACATTTCTGTGTACGACTGATAGTTAATTTAAAAGTATCAATGATACGCTTTTGGTGACAAGGGTTTGAGATCTGAAATGGTTCTAAAAAGTGGAATGCTTTAATGAGCAGGAAGATTCTATTTCTAGGCTTTATTAATACTGGTTACATGATATGAAATGGATCCTTGTCTGAATTTGACAGGTAGTTCAGACTAGCACTTGCCCAGTTCACATATTAATATTATGGGTAAATTCAGAATGAGCAGTGAATCAGGTGTTGAGGGCTACAGGCATTTTTTTCCTCACGAATACCAAAATTTTATCACATATCAGACCACTTTAAGATCTCCTGGTTGGCAGAAATATGAATTCCTAGGCCAGTCTATTGAGACAGGTTACCCACCAGGTGGATGAATAAGGAAAGAGTTCTCAGTTTGCTGGTAAGAGCAAGTTCTATTTTGATTCTGTCTTCATAGCTTTGCCTCTTTTATGTGACTCAGTCTCCTTGAAAATAACAATGCCATTTCCTGGTTGTGGAATATTATTAGCCTTTCAGTGAACTGACAAATTTTTAAAAAGACTGTGAGAAATTTCTTATAGTAGAAGCCATTTCTGTAAAGATCTATATTTGCACATACAAAAAGCCATTGGTTTTCTTTTTCCACTTTCCAACAATTACTTCTTTCCTTGGTACAAATATTTAGGCAGAGATGCTAGGAAATGGCTGTTTATTCAAAAATAAAGAGGATTTCCTGAAGAAAGATCCATGAGATATGATTATGAAAACTAAATAACATTGGCCCCAGAACACTATTTCAGGGAATTAGACTTCTTGCTTGGGAGTGATTGTGAGGGACAGGCGAGATGGGTGAAAATTTGGAATTCAAAATCTCATGGGAGTGATTGTGAGCAAGAAAGGCAAAAGAAATGCCCAGAGGATGTGTGATAGTAGAAGTGTTTTCCAGTATTGCCTAGAGATGTAACATATGTAGAAAAAAGTGAGGAGAAATGAAGGATTGGGTGTCAGGTTCTCAGAGACAGGTTATATGTATGTATGTATGTATAGTTACAAACACAAGCTCTTTAGAGCAGCTTTACTATGGGCAGGCACAGTGGGAACAGGGACTACTAGTCATGTATTGCTCTCTTAGCCACACCTAGGCCCATAATATTATCAATTGTCAGATATGGAAATGAGAGGTAGCAATACAGTTTAAAATGCTATTCTTGATTTTTGAAGATGACTCCCTGTTATAGTGGGAAGTTACAGGATGAGCCATTTAAAGGTACAAAAGACTGAATCAAGAACATTTATCTTTGGGATCAATGTGGATACTAGTGCCAAAGGTCAGAACAAAACCAAAAACATTTCATCCAAAATTCAAATGGCTGCTTTTCTCTTTCTTTCTTTCCTTCTTGCTTTCTTTTTATAAATCTTAATGGTTATGGTCTGAAACATGGGGAACTGACTCAATGATAGTGTACGCTTATGCTCAGTCAGTTTAAAAAAATTATAGCTCATTTAGACAGTAATGAACACAAGCCTAGCATACTTTGTTCTGACTGACAAAGGCTATGTCCCTTAAAGTGGTGTGAACCTAATATTTATGTAATAATTCATGTACCGTAAGAACTAGCTTTTTACCTGCTGTTTCCTTATAAAGTGAAGAATCTTTTTGTAATATGATGGTAACTCCTAATTTAACTCCTTGAATTGTGATTTTGGTGTGCTATATTAATTTGTAGTAAGATTGTGGCATCTTTGGATATTAATTTTCATCATGGTAAGTTTTTTCTAATTCAATCAGAAATTTTAAAATTTGGGGAAAATATAGACTCAAGAAGCCTTAGAATTAGAGAATGTCAGAACTGTTAAACACTTAATGGTTTATCTTCTCCAATCCCTTCATTTGATAGACAGGGATAAGTGAAGGCCCAGGGTGGCAAAGCAACTTGTTCTAGGTCATACAATGGCAATTTAATATCATTTAAGCATGGTGCATGATTGAGATTGTTTATAAAATTGATGTATTAATGATTCAGAGGATTTTATTTAAGTGGTACCAGATAAAGTAATGAATGTGAATTTTATGCACAAATATTTAAAATAAAATTTAAAGCTTGAATTTTAGATTTGCTGAAAAATGTGTTCATCTATCTGTAAGATTTGAAAATGTAAGTACTTTGAGCTATAGCTTTCATATTGATTTGTTCCTAGTTTTCTGAACAAATTAGTCTGTAACTTTTTATTTTTCTATTTATTGCTGACTCCTTTGGATTTATGAGTCCATGTGGGCAGAATTATGTATTTTACACATACAAGTTTGGCACAGTAATAAATCTCCAATATTGAAACTCCACAGATCCCTCTCAAGTTCAATAGTTTTCAGTCTTATGGCTATTGGTTTGGCATTGAATGATAAGGATTGATAGTGCAGATATACAACTAGAGTGAGATGTTTCTCATAAACATTATTTACCTATGTGGCCAAGCTGCTCAGGGGCATCTATATAGAGGATTTGATGCCTTTCCAGTATTGCCCTTGAATGACTCTGTCATGGGGAAGGAACTACCACTTTTGAAATAATAAAAACCCATGCCTAAACCCTCTCATATGTAGAAGGACAGCCACAAAATGACTTAGGCTAGAGAAGAGAAAGTATATCCACCGAAGGTGTTAGACATATTTAATCTCATCCAGCATTATGTGTACAAAGCTTTGGGCTTTGGCATCCAGATATATTGACCTGTTCAGTCAGTGGCAAGACTTCAATATCAAGATTACTCTACTTCAAGGTCTAATATTTTCCTTGCCTTGGCTTTGATCAATATTAACCTCTTGGGCCAATAAATCTTGATACTGGCCTCAAGAGAAGTCATTATCTTTCATAGAAAATGATTATTTCTCAGTTAAAGCCTACATTTAATTTTCCTGTAATCTGTCTCTTTCAGCATTGCACATTTAGCAGTGCCTCTCCTGCATAAAATGCCCATGAAAATGTCTTCCCCACCGGAGGCTTTAAATCCCAAAGCATCAAACTAACTTTACGGTTTCCTTTGATTCCTTTAGCTCCAGCAGCTAGAATAGGCAGGCTCATAAAACATAAATGAAGGCCACCAATGCTAGTTAGGAAGGGCCTGGCTTAAAAATTAATTTGAATCACAAAAGCATTCATTAAACCGGGAGTTTTCCCTCCCACACAAAAGATGTCAGACAACCCTACTTCCCTAGTTTAAGGCTCAGTGATTATGTTGGGCAAGCAGGAATACCGAACACATGTAGATGCCAGGGTTCTTTCACATCTTTGTTTCAAAGCCTAGGCATGTGGGCGTATATGTACAGCAGAGCTCTATAGTGTGGAAAACCTAATCATATTTAGTTCTTATGAAATTCCCACAGATTAAAAGATGGAGTGTGGTCTTTAGAAGGGGTGTTACACATACTGCCTCTGAGCCAAAGGAAATGATACTTTCCTTAACTAGAGAGGGCAGTGACTCAGGTTGGACTTAGGTTCCTTTTTTTTTTCTGTGCAAACATTGATATAGGCTGGGGTTATAAAATAACAAAGATTACAAAATAACCAGAGAGGGCTCCCCTAAAAATGTAGGTAGGGTGGGTTTTTAATCTATATCACTCTCCTTATCAGTTTTTTTTCCTGTTGAGCTCTGTTCTAGGTATTATGAGTTAAGCAAGAGAAAGCACAGTCCATACTCTGAAGTTAATGCATAGTCATGCGAAAAATCGGATACATTCTTTATTGGCTAGTCCTATAGATGGGAAACTGAGGCACATGAAAGTGACTATCTGAATTAATTAACTGAAGCAGAGACGTAACTTGAACATGGATCTTCCAACTCTTAAGAGTTAAAGCTACTCCTCTTCTATTCCTAGGAATAAAGCTGACTACTGAGCCAATGTTTTAAAGAATCCTGTAGTGTCCCATTTATACAGAAGTCTAATCACCTTAACCACCCAAAAACAGTCAACTTAGGACAAAATGCCTTCTCAGCAATGGGAGTCACAAAGCCTAGCCATCTTGCCCAAAGACCTCTCTAGAGTAGAGTAATTCTGGATAACTTTAACTTATTAAGTTTAAAACCAGAAGGATACAATAGCGGCTAATTTTAGAGGGAAAAGAGAAAAACTAAAAAGCCATGTAGGAGTATTTAGTGTTTGAGAAAGAGCTCCATAGCTCCAAAATGTCACAGTGACATCAAAAACCCACATAGACACCAGTGCCAGAAAGGACCAGAGAGCTTAGTCCAACACTCTCATTATAAAGATGGAGAAAATGGAAGCCCAGATACGTTACTTGTTTCAAGATCACAAAGCTTGGTCAAAAGCCCAGGCTTGTACTAAAAAGAACCAAATCTCCTGTCCTCTCAGGTTAACAGCTTTCCACTAAACTACAACAGATCAACAAAAAGAGGACCACGAGGAAGGATGGGGTCACATCCAAATAAGTCCAGTTCAGCCATTATGCCTTATGGCCAGTCCTCAGGCATCAAAAAAGTCACTCTACCCATGGTGCATAATACGAGTTATAAAACTGAAGGAGCCTTAGAGTCCTCTCTGGCCCTAACCTCTTAAGTGACAAATGGGGAAACTGAGGCCTGGAACGGGGAAATGGCTCCCTTAAGATGCCAGTTATCTGGGCTGCAATTTCATTTCAGTGACAGAAGATGCAGTGGGATAATGAAAGCGATTTAACGACTGCTCTAAGGTCATCTGACAGCGCACCCCCCTCCCAAACCATAGGAGAAGCTGGCCACCTATCCCAACATGTCGCCGAGTTCCGGTTTTGGAAAGTGTTGCGGGTGAGAGAAGAGAAAAGGGGAGGAGGGAGGAAATGAGCAAAACCAGAAAACAAAACTAGCCTCCGAGTCGGGAAAGTACAACCTCCTCCCCCTCTCCCTCCCCTTCCGATCTAGACTTGGCGGTATCGTGACAAAGCTGGACTCCCTCCGGGCCGAGCAAAGAGCGATCCAGCGATCCCGTCTACGAGGACTGGAGAGACAGGGGTCCAAGCGTTGCTAAAAGAGCTCCATAGCCAAGGCGGACGGCGGCGCACGTGACGGCGGTTGCCAGGGTGAAGGGTCAACGCCCCCCCACGGGCGCGTCCAAGATGGCGGCGGCGGGGCGCTGGGGCTGGGGCTCCGGCGGAGGGCCCCGCAGGTGGTCGCTGCCGCCGCTAATCTGGATGCTGCTACTCGCCTCGGTGGGTTCCGGGGTCAGAGCTGCCGGAGCTCGGCTGTACAACGCCGGCGGCGCGGACGCCGTGTGGGCGCTGGACGCCGGGAGCGTGCGCGCGGCCACGGGCAACAGCTCGGCCGCGTGGCTGGTGCAGTTTTACTCTTCGTGGTGCGGCCACTGCATTCACTACGCGCCCGTGTGGCGGGCCCTGGCGCGCGACGTGCGAGGTGAGCGGGGCGCGCAGGCGCGGCGGGGCCGGACGCGGCACTCCCTTTCTTCCCTCCCTCCCCTCTCAGACCGACCCCCACCCGCACCCCAATGCGTCACCTCCAGACCCAGGGTTGGAACCCGGCTTGAGACCGAGGCAGACGGGGAGATTCCCAGATGCACGCCTGGCATCGCAGATGTCGACCTTCCCACGCCACCCCAACTCCTGGCCCTATCCCAGCAGAGAAACCCCACATACGGACATCCCATCACCCCTGCCCTCAGATGTCTCCCTTCTAGGGACCCTGAGGACACCTCATTATGCCTACCAGGTTCGAGGTGTGACGAAGAAGCCTAACCACAAGGTGATCCCCCTCATCGTTTACTGCTCCTAACTACCCTTCTTCGTCCGTGTATTGAGACTGTCAGGAGACAAGCCTAGAAAACGTCCCAGGATAAAGCTTCAACCTTCCAGAGAGATCTCTCACATCGCCCCTACCCGCTCTCCGAACTCCTTCCGCCCACACCCCCACCCCTGTCCTCTACATTGCCTCATTTTAACTACTAGGGCCCTTCTGGCTGTTATCTGTGAGGTCTGAGGTGGTCCCAACCCCTGCATTGTACTACTAGGATCCATGACCATAATAAGAAGTCCTCTTGCTTACAGTCTCATCATAGGAATTACTCTATCATCTCTCCCTGTCGCCCTAAAATCTCTAGTTTGAAGTATCTGGAACCTCCTCCAGCCCTCCCCCCCATACTGGAATCTTTTCTAAGTCCCTTGTTCCAAGTAGTTTACTATATGTATCGTTGAGCCACGTGTTGCCAAGTCCTCACTTCCCATTCCAGGTGATCTGAAACTTTCAGGATCCTTTCCTGATTACAGACATTTCCAGCCTTTTTGTACCATAACATTCCCAGTCACTTCATTCCCGTTTCTTAGCATCTTCCAGCCTGGAACTTCTCACCACAATCTTTACTTATGGGTCCATCTGATCCTTTCAACAAACTACTTATCTCAGCTCTGAAATTCCTTCTCTTCTCAGCTACCCCAGACCTCTACATTGAGAATATAGCCATTTGATAGACTTCTTGATATGATAGTATTAAGTGCAAAATCAAATCCACAAACCTCAATTCATAAACCCAAATACCCAGATTTTGGGGTTGGAGGAAGTATGACAGGGAGTTGATTTATATACTAAACGGATGATAAGAGATCTTTAAAACCTCTCTTTGGGAGGTCCATGCCGTCTCTTGTGAAAACATTCATGCCTTTCCACACATCTTCTGTGTTGATTATTTCACTGGTTTGTTTTAACATTTTGATGGCCTTTTGGATCTCTTGAATAATATCCCCCTTTTACTTTTTGCTCCTTTCCTTTACCATTTTACAAATCTGGCTCTCAAAGCTAGCTCAAACTGACAGATTAAATGTTTTCTTTTTAAACTAGGGGAAGCAGATGGCAAAAGCTTCGGTAAAAGTCACCGTTTTTTAAAACTGTATTTAAATTCATCTGAAGAAGGAGCTCTTTCTTCAGATTGAGTGAGGTTTGGCCGGGGTTGTTTTGTGAGTGTTGAACTTACCTCTAATTATATACCTCCATAGGCAAGAGACTTAACAAATTGGTGCTTTCTTTTTTCCTTTTCCCTTTAACCTCTGCTAAGCAAGAACTGTTTGGGTTTATTTTAATCCATGAAAGGACTTTTGTACTTTTTTTCTTGCAAAGGATCATTTTATCTGTTTTAGTCATCTTGAAGTTCTTTATAATACATTATTAATTGTGACCAAGATAAGAATGTTGTAGACAGAGATCTTACTCTTTTAAGGGTCACCCTGAGGGTCAAAAGGACTAATAATAATATAGGGAATTGGGTTTTGTAACTGATATAGTTCTGGCTTCTTTAGATTACAAAAGTATAAATGAATAAGCTAAAATAATTGCAAAATAGGCTTGTTCTAGCAAGCCTTGTATGGTCCTTGAGGTAGGGGTTGGCTCTCCTGTTTTATTTGGCACTTGAATTGTCTGAGCTGGAAGAGCACCTTAAAGATAATTTGATTCAACCCCTCCTATTACAGTGAAGGAAACTGAGGCCCAGAAAGGGGCCTCTTTTATTTATTAAACAGGTTCTTTTGTTAAAGAGCAGAGGACTCAACCTTAGGGATCATTGGATCATAGACTTTGAACTGGACCAGATCCTAGAAGCTGTCCAGTGCAATCCTCTCATTTTATAGATGAAGAACCCAGGCCAAGAGAGGTTAAGTGACTTAACCAGGGTCACCAAACGAGTATGTATCTTGAGGTGGGATTTGAGCCAGAATTTCTTGTCTTCAAGAATAGCAACTTATCCACAATGCCATATTGCCAAGTTAAGTACTTTTCCTATTACACCCTGCTTCTTCACTATTAAAAACAATATGCTAGTTTTTAGATTTGTAGGCTGTGTTTTACAGAATCCCAGTTTTCTGGGGAGAGAGAGTGTATGTCTTGTTTGATTTGCATTTCTTTTGAATATTCTCATTAAGAAATACAGAGCATGAAATTTAATAGATCTCAGGTTTTTTGAGAACTCTGATGTGGGTTGAACACTTTGTCCTTTTTATTTGCATTTTTACTTTTGTTTATATAATTTTATATCCTCAGTAAAATGAGAGCTATTAGAACTGTGACTTAAAAAATTTTGGAATTGAGTCTGCACAGTGCAAAAACACTTTTTTCCAATCATGACTCATAGACTGAGAGATTTATTGGAAGGGACCTTAGACTACATCCTAGTCCAACCCTCTTATTTTACAAGTGAGCAATTGAGACCCAGAGAGAAGTAATTTACCCAAGGACACAGTGGTAGTAAATGACAGAGTTAGGATTTGAATCCAGGTCTTATGACTCCAAAACCAGTGCTCTTTGCATTTTACTGGTTGAGTCTTTTATGGACGATTTATTAGACCCCTTAATAGTTTTTCTACAGCTCTGGATTGAAATTTCTTTGTCTTTTCTTTACTTTTCAAGCTTAGTGAAAATAGTACTTTTTAAGATGGAGGTAGACTAAGCTAACAAAACGTCTGCTGTGTACTATAGGCAAGGCTTTTCCCAGTATTTATTTTGATAAGGTTTATTCCTGTCAGCTTTGAGTACTTGGGAAAACAAAACATACTCTATTCTTTGTAGACCATTTGGCTTGGAGCCGTAGTGGCTAACTCAATTTGCAATGCATGCTTAATTTGTAATGGGGATCCGACTGCTGTGGAAGAGGAAGGGGAAAAGAATGAATATCATATTAAATAGATATTACCTACTGCTACCTGTCTGGCATATTGAAAATAAAATTTCCAGTGAGAGTTTCAATAAATTGAGTATTTCAGTGAACCCATCCTCTACAAAGCTTTCAAAATAACCTTCCCAAGATAGAAGCCTAATTATGTTATTCTTCTGCTTAAAAACTTTCAGTGGCTCCTTACTGCCTTTAGGATAAAAAATCTCTAGTGTCTGGTTTTTAAATCCTTCCATAATCTGGCTTCAACATAACTTTCCCAGCTTTATTTCACATTAATCCCTTTCACAATCTTTACTTTCTAGCCAGAGTGAACCACTAGATATTCCCCAATCTCATTCTGCCTTGTCCCCTTAATTTCATTGCATTTTCACAGACCTTCCCCATTCTTGGAATGCTTCCTCTCTCCCCCCCCATCTCAAATCCTAGAATCTTCCTTTAGCTCAGCTCAGTTTTGGTACCACCTCTTCTGGATATCCTTAAGATTCTCTCCATCTCCCCCCCCCCAAGTTACTAAAGCTTTCTCCTCCTTAAATTGCCTTTGGTGTATTTATTGTATCACTTCTCCCTCTCTCCCATACAGAATATAAATTTTGAAGCAGGAATTGTTTTTGTCTTTTTGTTGCCATGGGCCTAGCATTGTACCAGCCACCCTCCCCCCCCCCATGTTGGTGCTTAATAAATATTTGTGAAATTGAAATTTGTGAAATTGTTTTGTGAAAATGGCAAGGATCCAGCATTATCAGTCAGTGTAGCCATAGACAGAATAGCACTTTTGTCATTCTTATGTAATACTCTCCTTTTTCCTCCTTGTTTTTCCATTTTTTTGCCTCTGATAATCAGAAGATTTCAGGGAGGCAGTAGTCGGATTAGTTTGACTTGAATACTGGGTGGGAGGATCAGTGGAGGAAAAATTAATGGGGAAGGAGAAGAGGAAATGGAAATAAATGCAAGAGAGAGTCGGGGATGAATGAGATGGAGTTGAAGAGAGGAATAAGTATGTATGGAAAGGGGAACTAGTACTAGAGAAACTGAAAGGTTCATTTAATCTATGTTTACTCTTCCCTCACTAATTTCTCAACCCTTTGCAGTCTGGCAAAGAAACTTGTCACTAGCCTGAAACTGAAAAAGATTCAAAGATGTGGTGGACTAGAGGATAATAAAATTAGATGGATTCAGAACTGGCTGAATTCCTTTACTCAAATGATAGTGGTTAATGGCTCAGTGTCAGGATGGCAGGAGGTCCTCAGATATCTGTGCTCAACCCCGTGCTGTTTAATATTTTTATTATTGACTTATATAAAGGATACATATAATACACACACACACACACACACACACACACACACACACACACACACACACACACAGAGTCTGAAGACTTCCTAAAGCTGGGAAGGATAGCTAACATATTGGACTGTGGTCTAAGTCAGGTTAGAGCTTTGAGCTAAATCCAATAAGATAAAATTCAGTAGGAATACATATAGCCTTACACTTACGTTAAAAAAAAATCAATTGCATAAGTACAGGGTGTTGGAAGAGGCATGGTTAGACAGCATATCTAAAATTAACTGAGCAGCATAATGTGCCAACAAAAAAAAATTAACGGTTAAGAAAAGCATAGTTTCTAGGAATAAAGAAGTGGTAGTTCTTCTTACTCTGCATTAATCATTCCACACCTGGAGTATTGTATTCAGTTCTTGGTGTCAGAGGTTCAGAAAAGTGTCGATAAGCTGGAAAATGTCCA